GCTAACCATAAGAGAGTAGATATAAATCAATATCAAGTGTTGCTCTCGTTTATTGCTTTATTATTCAATGCATACAATTTATACACAATAGAAAAACAATAGTGTTTTACCTGATTTACAGGTATATAAAAAGTTATAAAATTTGTTAAAAATAAAAATTATTTGTTTTAAAGTTTATTATTAATAATTGTAAAAGTATTATAATAAATAGGATTCTGTGTTACCTTTACTGTTATTAGTTTTGAGTAATTTTTATCAATTATTGTACTGTTTTGTGCACTAAAATACACGTAAAATACTGTACAAGTATTCACGTAAATATAATTAGATATAATTTACAAAATTAAAACCAGATTCTTATATGTATATGAAATTATTAGACTGTATTAACATAAATAAAAACTCATTATTGCTATTTTCCCCGAATTATAGTATTAAATGTGTGTCTATTTAGTCGGTTTGACTCACGGGTTGAGTCGGTTTAAGAATAAAATTTTATTTAAAAAAGTGATAAAATAATTATGGAATACTTTAATGTATTAATTACAGACATTATTATTTTAGTGGATAGTGAAAAGTTTTCATAATAAAATCTACTGTAAGAGTTGGGAATAATAGAAAATCGTATACTGAATGACTGCCCAATTTATCTAGAAACAACTAACTATAATTAGGGGCACAACTGTGTCTGTAATTTCCCAAAACATTATAATAATTTTGTCGTCATATTGTATGAAATACACTATAATTTGTAGACAAATCTTTTGAAACAATTGATGACTGATATTCATTGTAAAAACTAATAGTAAATCAAAAATACAATAATTATATTATTGACAAAAAGTTGAGTAAAATTATCAATAATTTAGGAATATTTAAAGAATACTTACAAATGTAAATGTAATTTTCAAAGAACATTAATTTTTTTAAACAATAGTTGAAAATACTGTATGTATTGAAAAAAAAGTTTATAAACAATAGTTTGATGTTCTCTAATAACTTTAGTTATGCTTGACTTACAGTAATTATAAGACAATGTAATGAATGTAAATTACATAATATACAAATGTATATATTTTTATGTTTAGTCGCTTTTAATGCCTCTAAAATTAAAATTAAACTTATAACCACTTTTATGTGTGATTTTATATAAATGTCTAGCAATAGGAACAAAAGGTTTTGTTTGAATGAATATAAGTATAGCACAAATAGAGGCCGAAAAAGCAAATGATAACATGAAAAACTTATTTATAAACAATAATGAGTTAAAATCAAAATCAGGCGTCAATACAAACGGCAAGAATTTGCTATAAAAATACAAAAATGATAGACATCTGAAACATTCAAAATGAAGAGAATATTTGCGATTTTCGAGCAAAAAACCGATACTTGTTATCGAAAATAATAATATAAGTATACAATAAGAAACGGCTATTTGACTAAAATTCTTGTGATTATTGATCAATAAATGATAAAAAACAAGAACTAAACCGAAGTGAGAAATACAGTATATGTTTTGCCAAAGAGGTATTGAAGGCGACCAATATTCCACCGGGTGTTCAATCTGATGGGTTTAATTGATTGCCATTAATTGCTTATTAAGTATAACTTATAAGTGATTAATACTAACAACTGGCACATCATCCAAATGACCGAGCCTAGATTTGCCGGGTGACCATCCAGGTCCTTTTATTATATAACACAGTCTTTCATTCCAATCGTTTGTGTTGTAAATTTTGTTAACAATTGAAATCATGTGATGAAATTGAAGGTAAAATGGATTATAGCTCTGAATGGGGTGTACGAGTCCATAGGCCACCGGTTCGGCACTATCTTCGGGTTCAAATGTACCCAATAGTCGGTCCCATATAATTAGAGTCCCGCCATAATTCTTGTCGATATATTTCCTATTTCTGCCTATAATTGCATTTTCAATCATTTTATATTAAATGACAAGAAAAATGCGAATTCAATACAAACCGTGATGTACTCTATGATGACTCGGAGTATTTAATACCCACTCCAATGGCCCTAATTTATCGATGACTTCGGTGTGAATCCAAATCATATAGAGTTCACTGAGTTGTAGATGTGTTAAGAATATAGACGGAGGTATGAATAGCGCGAGAGGTAGGTATGCGAACTGTGCGATTTGACCACCATGCAAGTTTTTATATTTTAAACATGTATATTTTTGCAAAGTTTGAAATATAATCACTAACCCATGCGGTGAATGGTTGTATTGCAGCCTGTCTTAACGATGAGATCATGGTGAAATCTTCGGCACTATGATGAGCTTGGTGCACTGACCATATTATGTTCACTTCTATACGATATACATGTGGATCACATTATTAAACACAAATATTGCTCATAAAGTGGTAATATTGGGCCAAACCGTGAGATATTCGGTGAAAGATGTAAAATCCGAGATCAACTCCGAAGAAACATAACCACCACGTGATCTGCGAATCCCATTGTAATGTTAAAACTCGACAATTATTCCATACAATGCAATACATAAACACTTCAAAACTTCTTATGTTAATTCTTCATCAAAAATAAAATCAATCATTTGTTTTACATGTAATGTAATAATTAATCATATGGTATGGTATGTAATACCGAATGCATTCCTGGAATATTCCCTGACCTATAGAAGCCATCGTATCGTTTGGCCGTAATATTGATTTGCCTTTCAATAAACGGATCCCATTCTCGGCCACCGCTAATGCGATGAATACCGGAAACATCTGATGATAGAAATATTGTTTTTGCAACAATTAATGCCAAAACAAATGCAATAATGAATACCTCAGCCACATATCGGGGCACGTCGTCCACCGTTTCAAACATACATTTACTTGGATTTACTAAATAAAAGAGATAACCGATTCTTGAGTAAATGTATTGAATCAATACATAAAGGCTATCGATTGTTATCTCCATCGCCTAAAACGAGTGATTTATTACTACAACTTTAAAAATAAAACTACATAAATGTGTGTAACAAACATTTTGATCAAACTTTTGAGTTAATCGCACTCAAAACAAGTCTCGTTTTTCATAAGTCTTTCGACATAAAAATAAAATAAATTAAGTTATGGGAAACTTTATGGTCCTTTCCATCCCTTGCGTTCACTTTTATTTAGTGAATCTTATTGTTAGTCAAAATGTTAGTCTTTGTATTCATTTCTGAATTACGAATTTTTTGGTACAACAAAACTTGATATAAACAAAATGCATTGTGAAAATCCCAAAAACCCGTTCGTATAGTGCAAAGAATTTTCCATTAATTCAATAAGTATTTCAATTTAATAAGTAATTGTGTGAATACATTGTAAATATTTGTTACTATTTAATGATTACACAATTTTATGTCTATTGTGATGAATAAATTGCAAATTAATTAAATAATTGTAAAAGTTAAACATTAAATCATTATGAAATTAAACAAAAATTATATTTAAATTTAATAAAAATCAAAAAGACAAACTATTGTCACTATTATTACATTATAACAAAATCTTAATTAAAGATTTAAACACAATAAAAATGTTGTCCTAAAAACATGTAAAAAAATAAAATGTTCAGAAGTTGTCTAAAAAAGAAATTTTTATTTGAGGAAAATATTTAGAAAAAATAAAATTAATTATTTATGTTAGAAATTAGTTTTCTTAATTTTACCGTAATTAATTATATTTTTTTATTCGTTATATACAAAATGTTTAATACACGACATATACTGTATGTCGTAAAAGGCTATGTATTAGTTGTTAATAATTAGAAATCAATGAATAAATTATTGATAATAATAAAGATTTTTATGCAAAAATAGATTTTATTTAATGAATTAATAATTAAAACATACAAAGAGTTATCACTTATGACTTTCTATGAATTTTTGAGCAATACTTTTATCAATACAAACGACAATCACTTCTCCGCCGTCGACGCCTTTCTTAGACTTAAGGAGTTTATGGTCTTTGAATTCACTGATTTGAGCCCTTA